GTTTCAATCACAATCAAGGAACATACAGTGCAAACACAAACAAAGAACACACCAACAGAGATCAAAAGTCTATGTTTCGTGGACTTCTCCTGTAAGATCCTCCAAATACACACCCGAACTGGATTTATCTCGGATTTCCTAGACCTCGTATGAGTCTTTGAACAAAGATTAGTCTCCACGAGGTTTTTAGTGTATGATAGATCAAGGAAAAAATTGAGAAAACATAATTTTTTGAAAAGAAAACTTTACAAAAATAAAAGATCACACCCATCGAGTTTATAAAAACTCGATATCTTTAAAACTTGTTTAGCAGCAGTTCCAAATTTTTTTGATCTGTAACATATCGAACTCTTTCTGCAAAGATCCAAGTATCTTGTTCTCAGTTTAGGCTTTGATACCATTGAAAAGGTCCACAATACACGATATTAAAAAAGGATTTCACCAAACATCAATCAATTCGAAAATAAACTTGTAGAAAATTAAATATTGAACACAAAAAATTATTTCGGCCTAAGCCTCGGAGGTTCGGCGACCACATCTAATGCCTATATCTCCCATTGAGCATCAAAAAATTGGATATCTGATCGGATGCACTATTTAGCCCAAAATGGCAACAAGTTACAAAATATTCTTCCAATACAAAAGAAAATTACAGAACACTTATCTCTTTAACACCAATCTGCATATCTATAAGGAATCACTCAAGAAACTCCACAATCGCTTGCTGAAATAGTGACTGCAAGAAAATCCTTATTCTCACAGCAATCACTCAAAAATACAGATTACAGAGGCTGATAAATATATTGATTTCAGTTTACAAGTTTATCAAGAGAGATGAAGAACACGTCAAACCCTAATCTACAAGAATAAAGCGACTCTCAGAAGAATCCATAAGGTTGGAAGAATCTCGAAAGGCAGAGGAGTGAAAATATTCAGCACTGTGCACGTATATATATCTCACAACAATAAGACCAGAATTCGAACACGTATCATCATCTCGTAGAAAACGTTTCCACTAACAAAAATGTATCAGCAAAACATGACTTTTTAAGCTAAATTTTTTGGGAGCACATCAGTGATCAGAGTTCGAGCCTCAACAATTTATTTTGTCGGTAAACACAATTTACTCTCAACTTGACTTTTTTTTTTTTTTTTTTGGGAAACTGACAAATAAACTTTGAAATATTAAAAATTAGAGTGTGAGGATGTAATTAGCTCTAACCAGTGTTATTAAAACTTAATTTTATTTTTATTTTTTTATAAAGATTCCGAAAGAACTTATTGAATAATCATAATTTGAAAATAAAAATTTTTCAATTAGATAGTAAGTTCAAATACTATGTAACAACATTTTCTTGCCTAAGTAGTAAATTCAAAATTATGAATTCTGTAGTTTAAAATAGGGGTGTCCAAAAGTCCCGAACCGAACCGAACCGGACCGAACCGGATCCGAACCGAACCGAGCGGTTCTTCATAAATTAAATACCCGAACGGGTACCCGA